TTTAATGAAGCATGTACCCATATGGAAGGAAAGTCTCAATCTCACAAAGGCAGAGAAAATTCTATGGGGAATATAGATACACTGGCAATTTATTCATGTTGTAATCACTGGTAACTGGCAGTCTGGTAAACTGGAATGTTATTTTCTTCCTGAAGCAGCTAATTTCAAAAGTTGTGAAGTTTTCTTATGTTAGATAATGTTGGAGAGATTACTTCCAGAGAACCTTATAGCTGAATGCTTCACTAAACACTATAAGCAAAAGGCATACTTAACAGCTTGAGTTTTTCTTCATCACATTCCTATACACCTACCGTCTCCATGTTCTGTACACTGGCTGTGGGAAAGTTATATTTTATCCATATTAAATGGTTATCACCAGTATTTCTGTATTTTCTCTATGACAAGGATTTTTTAATGTGGGAGTCATGGTTTCTAGAAAAATCAGGACTTACGTGTATTGCTAATGCATATTAGATAATGCAGTTCTTCCCATTTTAACGTGTCTCCTCAGGCCCTCCTGTCAATGTTGCCCTAGCAATTGAAGTAGCCAGCATCGACCACATCTCAGAAGTTAATATGGTATGTTATCATTTAAACTTGTTAAGACTGTAATGAGAAAACTTATACTGCAACAACTAAAAGCACAGAAGACTGGCAGGATAAATAGCAGTTTTCTAAACAGTATTACTAGGTGAAAAATTAGCAGAGGGAAAAGATTTTCTAAAATATTTCAGGTGAAAAATTGCCACAATGACATACTCTAAAGAGCAAACATAGTTGTAGTCTAATCTATAGACAGTTGTGCATCTAGACTCAGTTGGTATAAATTAGCTGGAGCTACACTGATTTCTACTAGGTGAGTATTTGAAATGGTATATTAGGGAGTACAGGGTTGTAGTCTGAAATGTGTTGCCCTTACTGCTAGAAAAACTATTTTTAAGACTTACATACAGCTTCCACTCAAATTCCACTTCTCTATGGAAACTCTTGAAGAAAGACTGAGGGAACTTAGCATCCTTTTGCTCCTGTAAAAAGTTATTTAATTATGGGACACTTGCTTTCCCATCCCTGTCATGTGCAAACTCCAAACAAAGCAACAAGTCAGGTGGCATGGGGCATGCTTGTGTAGAACAGCAAACATCAGTTGCATTTTTGTAACCTATTGAACCAGAAAGAATTTATGATTCCACCTATTTTTTAACTCATCCCCCATCCCTCTCTTCAAAAACTACTGTTCCTACCTGAGAAAGGGGCTCAGGAGGAACATTAACCTTATTTTCTCCATTAGTAGCACACGGTCTTGTAGCTCCCACTGTACAATATACTTGATAATGCCTTTGAATCAGAACACATGTTGAGCTATCTTAGGGTCATCCAAAATAAAAGTAAATAAAATAAAATATCCAAGCAGCCTCATTTTTGCTTGAGTATTCCAGTACCCGGGAAATAACTGTTCCAGACTGAGACGAGGACATCTGACCAAACCCCAAGGCAATGCAACTGTGTTTGTTTCACATGCTTTTTTAACTGTTTATTCTCCTTGCCCTAGGAATATACTATGACAGTATTTCTGCATCAGAGCTGGCGAGATGACCGGCTCTCTTACAATCACACCAATGAAACTCTAGGTTTGGACAGTCGATTTGTGGATAAGCTCTGGTTACCAGATACATTCATAGTAAATGCCAAGTCCGCCTGGTTCCATGATGTGACAGTGGAAAACAAACTTATCAGGCTACAACCTGATGGAGTAATTTTATATAGTATCAGGTAAGAAAGAGTGAAAAGTGTGAGTGTGCTCTCTGTCAGATGTTAGCCTTTTGTATATACTTCAGAAATACTCATCCCTTCTTTCCTAGGGTGTCCCTGAAAATCACCAATAATATGGGAAAAAATGTTACTCTGAAAACCCTTCTTTGGGAGGGCTATGCTGCTGGAGTTGCAGCTGTGGCAACAGTAACACATTTCCCATTGTGTAATCATTAATCACAAGAATATCATTAATGGTATCATTAGCAATCACAAGACAGTGTAGATGGGGCAAAAAGTTCCTGGCTTCCATCTGACTGACTCCAGTTCCCAGGGAACTGTGGGCACTTTTGTCCTCACCGTCACTGTTTGCAAACATATTCACTTTGCAGGCACATTTTAAGAATGAGTTAGCTACTGTACATGAGATGCTGTGAAAATGTAGGACTAAAATCAGTCCTGAAGTGACTTAATCAACTTATGTAACTTTATGCGGGAGTGAGCTCGACTCACAAGAGTATATAAAAGAATTATTGTCATCATCACCATCCAGCCTTGGACAAGTCACTTAATTTCTTTTTATCTCAGTTTCCAAATTCTAGTTTTTATTTTGAAGACTAGAAGTAATAATCAAAAAAGACTTTGAAAATATTTTTATCATTGGTAGTAGTGTTATGGGAGATAGGTGGTGGGTTTCCAACTCAGTGTCTGGATTATGAAGAAAATTAAATGTCAAGTTATGAATGCCTACAGGCTATCTGAATATAACTAATTAGTATTTTTATTTTCCTTGCTTGGGACAGGATTACCTCAACTGTAGCCTGTGACATGGACCTTTCCAAGTATCCGATGGATGAGCAAGAGTGCATGCTGGATTTAGAAAGCTGTAAGGCCTGAGCATAGAGTTGCCTATAATGTGTTTTGTTTAAAGCCTGCACACGTGGTACTTAGCTTCCAGTCTGCCTAAGCAATTCTGCTTCCATAGATCACAAACAAGGGCTGCTCGGGATTTAGAAAATATAAAACTCAATCCCCAACCTCTTGGCTCCAAGTTTTGGGTGTTAAGGTACTAGGCTTTTCAAAACTAGTTGTACGCTAGCCTGATTCAGAACTATACAGCTAAATCCAGCAAGGTGATGAGCATCCTTCAATCGGATTAAGGATTGAATCCTCCCAGTCTGAAGAGGAGCTGACTGCCTGACTCAAAGCCCAGTGAAAGCAGTGGGATTCTTTCCATTAATGTCAAGCTATGAGGGACAGAGAGTTCAGAAGGACTGCGCTCAGGCAAATTCCTATATCTTCTTCTCTCTCTAAGAAAAACTGGATGGGGCAAGAATTTCTTGCATACAGGGACTATGCTTGTGTTTATGCCTGGCACAGGCACTGTCTCTCCTTGACATCCCCTGACCCTCGCATCCACATGAGACTCCATCATAATTTGGCCCACAGACTGGTTTAACTCCATTTTCTGCTTACCTGAGAAATCAGCATAAACTAAATTTATGTTCTGTTCAGATTCAAGTCTTCCCTTGATCAGATTGTAATTCACATGAATATTAATGCTTGGAACCCAGATTTACCACCTATCATAAGAAGGAACCACACTAACTAATAGCTTTGTGAATTTGGCTTTCTGTGTTCTGGACATCAAGTGGAGAATAAAGATTTCATAGACATTAGGGCTGGAAGGGACCTCGGAAGATCATCGAGTCCAGCCCCATATTTTATTTTTTTGAGACTGAAGAAAAGATTCTTACTCCTATGTTTCAGTATAAGAACATATAAGAAACAGTCATACAAATGGCAAAAAACGATCCCTATGTTTCTAAAGATTTAGGGCTATCAGAGTTTCTCAGCAGATGTAAACATACTGCCACATTGGTGTGAGCTTTAGTTTCTCTTATTCTTTTTTAGCACTGACTCTGTTTTCTAGGCAATTAACCACAATACCATTTGATCCTGTCAAAAATAGCAATCTGCAGTTTTACTTATGTAATCAGCAAATGCAGAGGCAGCAGACAATGAACCGGCAATCAATTCATTCTCCCAGCAAATTTTGCAGAGGCTTATTTCTCTCTCTCTCTCTCTCTCTCTCTCTCTCCCTCTCTCTGTTTTAAATTGAGGATTTTTATTTCAGTGCAATAAACATAAGCAGAAATGAAGCCTTTTTAAGTAAGTGCATTAAAGTAAAAATCAGGGGGATATTACTCCATACTGTTTCCAAGTACAGGGTTTCCTCTAGGCATTTCCCAGTCTGACTGTGTATTTCAAAAGGGACTCACCATTCTGTAGCATGGCCTGGGTCAAATTTTAGTGCTGTTACAAGGTACCTTACTCTACCTTCCACCTAGTTCAAGTGCTGACAAGTTACATATTTTGAACCAGATTCTAAAATCAGAATATCACTGCTTTAAGGTCAGTTTGGTTTAGATGAGGAAGTACCTGAGACAGTGCTCCTAGCCACTAAACCAGGGGCAGGCAATTATTTTGGGCAGAGGGCTGCTTACTGAGTTTTGGCAAGCCATCGAGGGCCGCATGACAGGCAGGCAGCCAACATTAATTTTCTAAATTTTTTAGGGGCCCCGCAGGCCATATAGAATGTCCTGGTGGGCCACATCTGGCCCGTGGGACACATTTTGCCCACCCCTGCACTAAACTCTCATTCCAGTTGCAAAATTGAACTGGCCATTAAATCAGGTTTGAGATGCAGAATCGATATTGGCTAGGTCAAAAAGCAGGCTGTCAAGGACAGACAGTCAAAAAGCCCCAGGCTGAATCTATTCAGTCTTTGCAGGTTAGTCTAAGCTGCACAGATTAAGTGAACAGACATTTAACTTTGATTCAGGAAATGCAGCCAAATGCCTGCAGTAGCTGAAGCCAGAAGCTGGGAGGCACTAGAGCATGGCTCTCTGGCTGTGTGTTCACTTCCCCTTCCTGCTGCCCCTGAGGTCTCTGGCAGTTACAGTCCAGAATTACATCAGCAGGACACTGCAGGGTTGCTCATCACTTCTACTTCCTTTTCCTGCTTCCTGGTGCCTCTGGGATTTGTAGTCCACAGTTGCAGTCAGCAGTAAGTTTGAGCTGGGGAAGGGGGATTTAACCCCCCTCCCTGGCCCCAGACCTCAGCCAGGGTTTGCCG